TATACGCTGAGCAAATAATCCAAGAAGCTGGACTATATGAAGAAGAATGTGACATCAGGATTGGTGGAAGACTGATTAACAACCTGCAATATGCAGAAGACAATCTTGCTTGCTGAAAGTGAAGAGGACTTGCAGCACTTACTGATAAAGATCAAAGACTACAGCCTTCAGTATGGATTACACTTCAACATACAGAAGACAAACATCCTCACAACTGGACCGATGAGCAGCATCATGATGATAAACGGGGAAAAGATTGACATTGTCGATTGATGAGATGGATTGACACAGTGGCTGCAACAATGGGCTGAAGCATAACAACGACCGTGAGGATGGCGCAAGACTGGGAGGTGTTTTGTTCTGTTGTACGTAGGGTCGCTATGAGTCAGAACCAACTCGATGGCACCTAACAACAACTTTAATCCCTATTTACGCATAAGGAATTTGAAGCAGAAAGAGGTCAAGAAACTTACTCAAAGTGACCTAGTAATCAAAGGAGTTGGGATCGTCACCTAAACTGTCTGGCCTGAGCTCTCATATTCTTAACCTTCATTAATTCATTCAGTAAGTATGCACTGAGCACCAAATATATGTCAGAAACTGGTTTAAGTGCTGGGGTAAGTGTACAAACCAATCAGAAGTCTCTGCCTTCATGAGGCTTACATTTTAGCGAAGGAGACAGAAGATAAATAAAAACCAAAACACCAAACCCGTTGGCCCTGGAGTCAATTCCAACTCATAGCGATCCTATAGGACAGAGTAGAACTGCTCCATAGGTTTTCCAAGGAGTGGCTGGTGGATTCAAACTGCCAACCTTTTGGTTAACAAAACAAATAAGATGTGCAAAATATACAGTTTATTGGATAGAATCAATTATTATGGGGAAAAATAAAACAGGGAAGACACAGGAAGAACCAAGAGGGGTTGAGATTACAGTTTGATGTAGTGTGGTCAGGGAAGACTTCACTAAGAAGGTAACATTTAAATAAAATCTGAAGGAAGTAAGAGGGACCTATATGGATATATGAGCAAAAAGCACTCCAGGCAGAGAAATCAGCAAATGCAAAGGCCTTGAGACAGGAACTTATGCCATGTTTGATGAATGGGGAGTCCAGCATGCCTCAAGTATAAGAAGTGAGAGGTAGAGCACAAACGAGAGGAGACAAGAGAGGTAGCAGGAACAGTTTGTGTAGGGCTTTGCAGATCTTTTTAGGGATTTTGACTTTTACCCTGAGTGAGGTGGGAAGAGACTGAGATATGAAATGTTGCATGTTTTAATGATACCATTCTAGTTGCTACAATAAGAATAGCTAGCAACAGGGAGAATAATTACCAGGTTATTGCAATAATCCAGACAAGAGAAGACTGAAGCTTTGACCACAGTGGTTGAAATGGAAGCATAAGAAGTAATATAGTTATGGAAATAACCTGATGGTAGAACCAAAATAATTTACTGATGGGTCGTATGTGAGGTATGAGAACAAAGATAGGATTTAAGTATTAGTTCAAATTTTTTGGCTTAAGCAACAGAAAGGATGGAGTGTCCCTTTACCACTATGGGGAAGACTGATTTAAGAGCAAACTTGGGGAAGTCAGGAGATTAGTTTTAAACATGTTAAGTTGGAGTTGCTTATTGGATACATTCAAGTGGAGAAATCAAGTAGGTAGTTGAATTCATAAGTCTAGAGTTCAAGATGTGGTCTGGGGTGGGGACATAGATTTGGAAATCTTAACCATATAGATACTATTTAAAGCCAAGAGACCCAGTGAGATCACCCAAGGTGTGACAGGAAATGAAGAGGGTCAATGGCTGAGTTATGATGACTTCCATGCATTGATAACCACCTCATATTGCCATCATGCTATTAACCCACCATCATGTGAAGGCGTTTTTCTAGCAGCAGTGAGAGATTCTGAATCTCCTGTTTTACTCAATATATATTAATAACAAGGTTGGAAAGAACAGTCTATCAAAGAAGTTTATTTCTCTTATGATTTTTGAAGCTGCTTAAGGAGTGTAGAAATTGAACCCATGCTACTGTTAAATCTTGTTTCTTTTATCCAGTATTTGTGTAGTTAACTTTTGGACCCAAGGTTAGAACTTTGCATTAATGCCCATTACTTTTATACTATTGGATTCAATTTTAGTATTCCAGTCCATAGGGATATATTTAAATTCTAATTTTGAATTTTCCTTCCCATAAATTTTACATATGCACCTCCTTTTAGAAGTAATTTGTATCATAAGCCTCTGGATAAACGTTCCAAAGTCTCATTAATGCTGACTTTGATGTAAAAACAAATACTTTTTTATATGAAAGTTCTGGTTATAAGAATTGAGTCAAGACATCTCAATGACACTCATTTTTCTCTCTCCGTTCCTTTTTCCTTTTCCATCACTCATCTCAAAATCGCCAGTGTGATTTAATTTGGAAGAGGGTAGCATTAAGAGTTGGTAGTCTTGGCAGCTATCTCCATGCAGCCTAATGATGTGAAATTCGGCCATTGTGCTTAGCACTAGAGATACAGTCAACCTCTTCCTCAGCAGTGAAGAATTGATTACAATTCTGATTAAAGAATATTTTAACCTAATTGTTACAGGCGTATTTGTTGTTATTAGTTGCCATTGAGTTGAAGCCAACTCATGGCATCCTCATGTGCGTCAGAGAAGAATTGGGCTCCATAGGGTTTACAATGTCTGATTTTTTGGAAGTAGCTCACCAGGCCTTTCTGTCATGGCATCTGTGGGTTGACTCAAACCGCTGACCTTATGGGTAGCAGCCAAGCAAATTAACCGTTTGTACCACCCAGAGACTCCTACAGAAATATAGTTACTGGAAAATCCACATGGCAGAGAACGCACAAAAACTAATGAAAGTTAGAAAATTTATTTTTAAATCTTTCAAAATAATTCATAGGGGCTCATAAAGTTTATTATATTTTTCAATATCAAGTCTACTCTTAAAGAAAGGAAGGAAGGAAGACAGAACTGTACAACATATAAAAGGATTTATATTAAGTTAGAAATGTTACATAGTATTTCCACTGGAAAGCCCTTGATGATTTACAACCAAACTAAGACATACATTCTCTTAATTTTCTAATCAGTGAATTGTACTTACTGAAAGTACAAATTTAACTGTTCTCAGATACGAAATAAGAAACGCTAAATATCCACTATTATTTGAAAAATAACAAAAATAACAAACTGGCCTGAGTCCAAAAACACCAACGTGTAGTTTGTCAAAGTTCTTGGGTTGAGTCTGGATTCTCTAGGGATTTTAATAATCAAATGTGGGGACAGAAACTTTGAAAAGCTTTTGTTCTCATGGGCATAACCAGGAAAAATAAATAAAATTGAAACCATTCTAGAAAATTTCAGAAATTATAGATTATAAAATATATTACCACAATCAATTCACTAAACAATCTCCAGGGTACTGGAAATTAGGATTCATTTCTACTTAATAAAGAAACAAAAGATGATGGGAAATAATCTAAATCAGAATATAAATATCGTATGAAAACTCTAATTGTAATTTTTTTCTGTGTAAAATTGTCTCATGATTTGCTGTCTTCAGAGACTCCTTGCTCCTAAACCAATGAAAAATTTCTATACATACTGTAAATTAATTATGAAATAGGAGATTAGCTAACGGTGTTTGTAAAGAGTATGACCTATGAACCCAGAAACCTGATTCCTAAGTCCTAGGACTGCCTTCAATTTCTGTGTAACTTTAACCAGATAACTTCTCTGTCTCTTCATTTTGTTAGAGGCAAAATAATATTGTTCTTGACTACTTAATACATAGTGATAAGATAAATTGTCAAAACATAACGGCCTAAAGTAATTCTTTGTTAATTGAGCCAGGATAAAAGAGTTATTCTAATGGACAATTAAGAATTACTTTGGTTTCTGGTCAGTCAAATTTGTTATCGCTCATTTCAATTCTGTTGCCTTTACTTTCCATCGAATATTATGATTAACTAAACGGATTTCCTATAATCATAATAACCACTCATATAAAGGATTAACTAGTATACAGTACATAAAATTATAAGGCATAATATCAGAAATTTGGAGATATTACAGTCAGGATGTTGAACTCTGGTTGTTGGGGGGTACAACGGGATGCGGAGGGTATGGAAAATTCCTGTGACTCACAATGGCTTGGGATGTTGAGCCTCAAAGACATTTATTTACAGTGTATTTATAAAACAAGCTGAAAATGTGAAGTTAAACTCATTTCCATAGCTCCAAGGAAATCACATAAGAAATCTGGGTATTTTAAATCACTCTCAGATATTATTATTTTTTTAAGTTCTTCTTAATAGTAATGATGATAACACTAGAAAAACTGCAAAACAATTTCTGAAAAAAAAAGAAAATATTGGGCTAATTTTACTCTGAAACTGAATAATAAAATTAATTTTTGATTGCTTAGCTGTTGGTAGTGGAATTAAGAACCACAAAGAGAAAAAAAAAGTTCACATTAAATAAATAAGTCCTAAATAACAATGAAACTATGCATACAGATATTGGCACAACAGAACAAAGTATGGGAATCTTATAGATTTCTCTTTAAGTTTTATCCTGTTAAAACCTTTAAAATTGTTTTCTCATTGACATTGACGAGTCGAGTTTCTTCTGGGTCCATTGAGGAATAGTTGTTTTTCAGCTAGAAGGCAGTGTTTACTTTTCCATCCCAACATTTATGTTCACTGCCCAAGTGGCTTCAGTCACATCTCGTTATTTTTGATGTTTTTCATTTTGGGAGATTTCTGTAAGTAAAGAAAAAATAAGAGGGGTCCATCAGAAATACATATTGGAAATAACCAGCAAGGAAGCTGTCTGCTTTCAAATACTGTTTGTAGAACGCTCATATGCATACACGATTTCTGAGAAATAACTGGGAGCAAAATAAAAAGAGCCAAAAAGAAAAAAAGTAAACTCTTCAGAAACAAGCTTGATATTTCCATGAAACAAATTTAAAGGAGATAATACTTTAAATTTGTAAAGTGTTTTCTGGTTTACAAAATGTTTTATTTTGCATTTTGTTTTGTTCTTACAAAAACTCTATTATGTAGGTAGGTAATACAAGGCCACAGTGAAGTTAAGTACCCTCTCCTCTCAGCAAGCACACAGCTAGTCAGGGTCTGAAGCTGATTCCAGACCCAACACTCTTCAGCTGTACCACGTGCCTATTGAGTAGAGAACAAACTTAGAGGATTTCTAACAGTATCTACATATGTTAACCGAGGAAAAAGCAACATTTCTCAAGCATAAGCTGAATGATCTGAAGTTTCTAATTAATATGCACAGGCCTCACATTAATTAGCACATTACATCAAACTCTCACATGACACAAGCTACACTTCAAATAGGAATTCTGTCTGTCTTTGGCAAGACACTTTACCTCTTTCCACAATGGCTTTGTGGAGCAAGGGGGGCTAGAGGTTAAAGAAAAAAGCAAAATACAAACGCTAACAGCAAGCACTACAATATTCAAGAAGGGCAAAAAAATAGACACCTCTCTAGCTCTCCAGTACATCTATTGTACTAAAACAACAACAAAAACACTAAACCATTTGCTGTTGCGTCTAGTTGATTCCAACTAATGGCAACCCCGTGTGTGTCAGAATAGAGTTGTGCTCCATAGGGTTTTCAATGGCTGATTTTTCAGAAGTGCTAGGTCTTTCTTCCAAGGTGCCTCTGAGTGTACTTGAATCACCAACCTTCACCCACTCTTCCCCCAGCACCACTCAGGGACTCCTCTATTGTACTGTTATTGTTGTAAGGTGCCATTGAGTCCATTCTGACTCATAGCGACCCTATGCACAACAGAATAAAACACTGCCTGGTCCTTTGCCATCCTCACTATCGTTGTTATGCTTGAGTTCATTGTTGCAGTCACTGTGTCAATCCATCTCATTGAGGGTGTTCCTCTTTTTTGCTGGCCCTCTATTTTACCAAACATGATGTCCTTCTCCAAGGGCTGGTTCCTCCTGATAAAATGTCCAAAGTATGTGAGACAAAGTCTCCCTTGCTTCTAATGCTCATCCTTGCTTCTAATGAGCATTCTGGCTGTACTTCTTCCAAGACAGATATGTTAGTTCTTCTGGCCCACCCATTGCTGTCAAGTCGATTCTGACTCATAGTGACTCTATAGAACAGAGTAGAACTGCCCCATAAGGTTTCCAAGGAGCATCTGGTGTATTCGAACTGCTAACCTTTTAGTTAGCAGCCATATCTCGCTGTAGCTCTTAACTACTGTGCCACCAGGGCTCCCGTTCTTCTAGTAGTCCATAATATGTTCAATATTCTTCGCCAACACCACAATTCAAAAGCAATTCTTCTTTGGTCTTCCTTTCTCATGGTCCAGCTTTCACATGCATATGAGGTGATTGAAAACACCATCGCTTGGGTCAAGCATACCTTAGTCCTTAAAGTGATATCTTTGCTTTTCAACACTTTAAAGAGGTCTTTTGCAGCAGATTTGCCCAATGCAATATATCATTTGATTTGTTGACTGCTGCTTCCATGGGTTTTGATTGTGGATCCATGTAAAATGAAATCCTTGACAACTCGAATCTTTTCTCTGTTTATCATGATGTTGCTTACTGGTCCAGTTGTGAGGATTTTTTGTTTTCTTTATGTTGAGGTGTAATCCACATTGAAGCCTGTGGTCTTTGATCTTCATCAGTAAGTGTTTCAAATCCTCTTCACTTCAGCAAGCAAGGCTGTGTCATCTGCATATCGCAGGTTGTTAATGAGTCTTCCACCAATCCTGATGCCCAGTTCTTCTTTATATAGTCCAGCTTCTTGGATTATTTGCTCAGCATACAGAATGCATAAGTATGGCAAAAGGATGCTACCATGATGCACACCTTTCCTGACTTTAAACCATTGCAGTATCCCCTTGTTCTGTTCGAATGACTGCTTCTTGGTCTAAGTACAGGTTCTTCATGAGCACAATTAAGTGTTCTGGAATCCCTATTCTTCACAGTATTATCCATAATTTGTTATTGATCCACATAGTCGAATGTCTTTCTATAGTCAATTACACTAGAGTACAATTCTATTGTACTAGAGTTCTGTTAAATGCTAGTTACTTGAACTTGCAGTGGAATACTCTAAGACTTATGACCTTGAACACTCATTAGCCTAGATTTCCGCCCTCCTTTCCCCTCCTTCTCTCTTCCCTCCTTTCATTCCTTCCTCCCGCACCCCCATCCTTTTTCTGGTACATTCTAGCTGTATAACATTAAGTAAGTCACCAAAGCTTTCTGTGCCTCGTTTCCTCATCTTTAAAAAAAGGATGGTCAAGAAATAATAATGCCTATTAAAATTGCTACAAAAATGAAAAGAGTTAATAAATGTAAATCTTAATAAATGTAAAGAGCCTAAAACTGTCTTACCAATTATTAGCTATTTTTATTATATACGTGGAGTAAAAAAACAAAATATACAGTTTTGTAACCTCTGAGAATGTCAAAACAAAAAGATATGAAAGTTCTCCATGCATCATGTTAATTCCACTTGTTGCTGTTGTATGCTGTCCAGTCAATTCTGACTCATAGTGACCCCATTTGACCAAGTAGAACTGCCCCATAGGATTTCAGCAATAAAACCACACACTGCAGAATTATCATTATAGATGAAAGAACACAGGATTTTTAGGCCCAGGTTTAGTTCCCACTTCTATCACAGTCTTTGGGATTTTATCTGTAAAAAGGGATATATTGTTCTTCACAGTGTTGCTTTTCTTGGGTGGGAGGGGGTCCAGGATGAGGGCAAATGAAATAGATATATTGTAATAGAGAGAGAAATGGAATCTGAAGACCTAGGTCTGATTCTCAATTACACAACTTACTGGCTGTGTCTTGAGGAATTTCTGAATTCCATTCTCTTATCAGTGAATGATTTTTGATAATAATAACTGAATCATAAAGTTGAAAAAATATCAAACGAAATAACAGCTCTGAAAATGTTTTGTAAAATATAAAGTGCTACAGAAATATGACTTACTATTAACATCTCATATTCATATAAACCTATTAGAAGCCTGCATTTTGGAAGTTCAATCTGTCATCTTGACAGTTATTAGTCCCACTTTCCCTTGTCAATAAGCTGATTTAAGAGCATGCATACTCAAGCAGAAAAAAGGAAGGTGAGGAAATTAGGATAATTAAATTATCTCAAAATAAAATAATAGGATCTAAATAATCTTAGGTTTGGAAGGGATCTTTTAAGTCACGCCACTCTGCCTGATTTAGTCCAATCTTCTACCAGTAT